ACTCTGTGCTTGGGGGCCTGGGCCCCTCGGAGAGGATGTTCCCCGCCGAGAGCTGGCGCTCACGGGCTCCTCCTTGCCTCTTTCAGCCGGTGCGTGGGCGTGCCAGGCTTTCGCCTCGTCGCCGCCAGTCGCTGCCTCGTGGGCGCCCCCGTGCGCCTGCGGGGTGCTCCGGGCTTCAAGCCGTTTGGCGCTGGCAGGCGCCTCGTGGGGGCCTCGTGCGCCGGCGGGGTGCTCCGGGACTCTGCGTCGGGCGGGCGCCCCGCGGGCGCCCCGTGCGCTGGCTGCGTGTTCCGGGTGTCCGCCCGGCGGGCGACCACGGGTCGCCGCGTGGGCGCTCTCCGTGCGTCGGCTGGCCTTCTCTGGAAACGCACACAGGTATGCGCCCCGCTCAGATGTGCACCGCGCAGACCGCGCTCCGTAGCGTGCACCACGGCGCGGATCACACAGATCCTGGCCTCCCAGATGGGGTCGGAGGAGATGGGGTCAGAGGATCGCGCCGCATCGCCGATGCATCGCCGATGCATCGCCGATGCGGCATGATGGGGCCCGATTGGCTTCACGTTGACGTCGGCGATGCGGCGCGATCCTGCGACCCCATCTACTCCGACCCCATCTAGGAGGCCTGCAATGGAGTGCACCACATATACTGCATCACATCGCTTGCACCGCGTATGCTGCAACACATAGCTTGCCCTGCGCGTCATGTACCACATGTGCTTCAACGCACTAATGACAAAAGCAAGAAGTGCGAGAACAAACTTTTTGGGGCCCACGCTGGCAAACATTCAATTGAGGGTTCTAAGGGGCCTGATCACAATCCACTCGGTGCCTGCGGCCCGCAGCTTTAAAGGCTTGGCTGTCTGGTCGGCATCTGGAAGCAGGGAGTCATACTGGAGGCTCGCCGGGTGCTGCGCCGGGAGTGGAGGAGAACGGAAGAGGCATGGAGAAGGGAGTAGAGGCGGGAGAAGAGTATCGAGCACCGAGCTATCCGACAAAGTCGTTGATACACACAGCGTGCATTCGCCACTCCCTCCATGGATCACCACGAACTCCGCGACGAAAAGAAAGAGGGAGGAGACCACGCCTCCCCTACGCCTTCACCTTATTTCAGGCATGTCCCCAATGCGCCTACGCGATAGCCTGACTCGGTCAACCTGGCGCCAGCTCTCTGAAGCTAACGATGGCGCCATGCCGGCAACAGGAGTAGGGATTGAGGGGTCTTATCCCGACTGAGCATGTGCCTCGGCGCGGGTGTAAATGGTCTCCGACCGTGCGATTGATTGGCATACATCATTTCATGTTGCACGATGGGCTGACAGATGGGCCCCCGCAGCTACGCGGGACACACATAAAAACATGCCGATCGAGCACCTTTAGAAGCGTCGGGACCCGCTGACGACCTTCTGGCAAACTATTCCATGGCCTTGGACGCACCCGCTGATATACCCATCTGTCGTTGAAAGTAGGTATATTTGGATTCCCAGATTCCAATCTACTTTCAGCGCCTCCCTACTTCAAAAGTCGAGCGGTTTTCCCTCTTCCCTCCTCTTCAGGAGGCGGGCGGAAACCCAATCTATTTCCAACGCCTTCCTACTTCATGTGTCTATATACTTCTTCCGACCGATGGGTAAAGGACACTGCCGAAAATAGGTCAGTCTCCGTCAAACACAACGATTGTCCTTTGGGCAATGGCAGAACTCGTTACCACTGCACCACCTGCTCGCACGTACACGAGGCCATAAGAATCGCAATGACGATGTGAGTGGATCAGCCAGCCAACCCTCGCAGCAACAACGCTTGAACATGCAAATCATGAGCTCCACCTGGTCAGTGCTGTGCTCTGCGGGGCATGCCTGGCCAAAAAGGTGTTGGGGAGGACTTGTATACAGTCGGGGCGCTGCAGAAGGAACCCGTTTCGCTGGGGAGGGGCTCGGTGTTCCTTGCTTGTTTCAAAGCTTGCCTCGGGTTTTCCTGAGGTTTTCCATGGGAAATCGAGGCTGAACTTATGGGCCTCGTTTTTTACTTAGGGTTCCTTGGGTCAACGCCTCGACTGTACTTCGCCCTGCCTTCGCCACCGGGCTCGTCCGCTCGTGTCGCGCCAGACCCGATATTGTTACAGCGCCAGCGTCCAGGCGCGGGGCGCGATCTCCATGGCTCGCTCGAGCCCGAACGGTTAAAAGGAGCCTCGGGCCGCGTGTTCTCGAGACGGGCGGGAGGAGAGGTCAACGTTTTTTCTTATTCGGCGTTTCGGCTCTGGGCGGAGAAGGGGGGGGGAGGGGGGGGGCGGTCTGGCTCTGCACCTCTGCTTAGTGCGACAGTTTGCAGCAGTGCGTCCTATGGGGGGAAGGCTCCACCTGCTCGAACCCGGCGCCAAGAACATCCAAGATCTGCCTCATGGGGAGGGGGAGGGGGGGGGGGTGCGAGGGCCCGCGCCGATCGGCAGAACAATGAAGAAGAAAGCAATCGCAGGAGGGAGCAGAGACGAAGGAGGGAGGGCAGCAAGGGAGGACAGACGAGGGGGGAGAGGGAGAGGTGGAGGTGCCGGGGGACGAGGTGCCCTCCCCCTCCGCGTCGGCTCCTCGCTCTCCTCGTCGTCCCCCCCCCGCCCCCCCTGCTTTTTTTTGTCCGCGGCGCCACTCCAGGAGCTGGCCGTGTTCGACCTGTTGGACATCTCCCTGTTCCACGGCTGGGTTGTGAGCAAGCAGGAGCCGTGCCTCACAGCGGCATCGATCGTTTTTCCCGCTGCTCCTGCTGCAGGAGGAGGACTCAGGGAAGACGCGCGAGTAGGGCGGGCGGAGGTTGTGAGGGGAAGGGGGAAGGAGAATGAGGACCAGGATGAAGTCGGGCGTGTCCCTCTATACGATTAAAATGTACAAGTAGTCAAAGCATCGTCGGGGGACGATGTTTGTTTGACTCTTTTTCTTTTTTCGTTCAAAATCCGCCTGTAGGAGGACACGCCCAACCTAAGAGGAGGATATGGAGGACAGAGATGAGGGCGGGACGATGACAGTGGTGATGCTTATTGCTTGTATGTGATGATGCGATGGATAAGGACGACCACAGCGACGGTGACGACGATGACGATGATGACTGCGATGATGGTGATGCCGTGGTTGTGGAGGTTTTTATCGCATTGCGTATGAAATACATCAGTGACCAGAGCTAGTTTGACCGCGGATCAAAGTGAGCTGAAGTTGCCAGAGGCTGTCACCAACGATCATAATGCTGCGGCTGACTGCGACAGTGACGATAATATGATGGTGGCAATCGTGGTGAGGACGATGATCATTGTGATGACGATGACGCTGACGATGCAGATAGGGCCCAACACGACTCGGATCATGGTGACGATTATTCTGATGTTGACTGTAATGGTGCCGACGATGTTGTTGATGATGTTGATGACGATGGTGGTAATGCAGGGTGGTAATGCTTGTGAATAGGTTGGGGATGTTGATGGTGCTGGTGCTGATGACGTTTTCGGAGTATGATGCTGATGATGGTGATTATTTTGCTGACGATTATGATGAGGGGTGCGATGCTGATGAGGACGATGATGATTGTGTCTATGCTGATTCTGCTGAGGATGATGGTGGTTATGACGGTGAAGGTTGTGGTGTTGATAATGGTGGTAAGTATGGCGATCTGTCTTGGGAAAGGGCCCTGGAGATTTCAAGCAGACACCCGCGCTGGATTTTCTGGGCTGACGCAGGCCAGGCGGGGGCAACACCGCTTCCAGTTAATCTTTACTACCTCCGGATAGTTTCGAGCACTCGTGCATTGTGTCAGAATTCCAAGGTGCATTGCAAGAGCTCCTCGTTACTGCTGCGCAGTCGAGGACCGTCGAGTGGGATTCTGTCTTCAGTCCGCGAGTGCCTAGGCACCAGCACCCTCTGCGGGCATATATATATATATATATATATATATATATGTATGTATGTATGTATGTATGTATGTATGTATGTATGTATGTATGTAGGTAGGTAGGTAGGTAGGTAGGTAGGTAGGTAGGTATGTATGTATGTGTGTATGTATGTATGTATGTATGTATGTATGTATGTATGTATGTATGTATGTATGTATATATGTGTATTCTAGATGTATATATATATATACACATCTATATATATACACATATAGATACGCATGCATCCTGCATGGACCCACCCCTGGATGGCCCCCCCGATACCTTTTTCGACGGTCCTCCCGGGCCCCAGGGCACCTTTCGAACGGACTTCAAGCTTTCCCAACCAGCCGCCCGCGCGCCGAACGATCGGCTGAAACGCTTTTCATGGCTTCCCGACGGCCCAAGAAGCCCGAGGACGGCTCCCAAACGGCCCCAACCGGGCCCACAAGACTCCCAAGAGCGCCGCGATATGCAACATCAGCGCTTTTCCTAAGATTTTTTGCAGATTTTGACGTCCTCGTCAGAGGCTTCCGAGATCCCTCCAAGACTGCCCAAGAGGCTTCCAAGACGGCCCCGAAACGGCTCAACAGAGCCCCCAGACGCCCAACTTGGCTCCAACACGGGGTGCAGCGCGCCCCACAGACGCCCAGGGGCGCGCCCAAGATAGCCCCGCGGGGCACCCGATGGCCCAAGAGGCTCCCAAGAGAGTCCCAAGACTGCCCAAGAGGGCTCCGAAACGGCCCAAGAGAGCCCCAGAGGGCTCCAAGACGACCCCAGCCCTCCAGGACGGCCCAAAAGGGCCCCAGGACAGCCCGAAAGAGCCCAAAAAGGACCCCCAAGAAAGCCCAAGAGGCCCCCAGGGTTTCCAGAATGCTTCCAAAAGACTCCCAGGAGCCTTCCCAAGACGATTCGTCTCAGGACTTCATGAGGCCCCACAGCCGCCAGGCCCCAAAAAGCACTACAAACGCCCTGGGGTCACGAACCAGGTAAGGGGTGTGCCGGCATGGGCGAGGCGGCGGGATGCGAACCTTGGCTCTGGGGCCGTCAGTGCGAATCCCTGTGGGGTACGATTTGTGTGAGGAGACAGTCGACATACGCGGGGGAACGTGACGTTACGCGAATCCTCTGACTACGGCTGCATGTGAACTACATCCCTCTGGGACACGATCCGTGTGATGGGTGTGCCGAGACGGGCGGAACGACGCCGTGCGAACTTTGACACTCGACCCGCAAGTGGAGCTCCCGGGGGGACGCTAGGTGAACCCTGCCTTCCTGCGGGGCCGTATGATCATCGCTTGCACTTTATCTAAGTTTTCCCACTTCTCCTCCTCCCCTCCTACCCTCCTCCTCCTCCTCCTCCTCCCCCTTCTTCTCCTCCTTCTCCTCCTCCTCCTCCTTCTCTTCTGTCTTCTCCTCCTCCTCCTTCACTTCCTCCTCCTCCTCCTCCTCCTGCTCCTCCTGCTCCTCTTCCTTCTCCTCATCCTCCTCCTCCTTCACCTTCTCCCCTTCCTCCTCCTTCTCCTCCTCCTCCTCCTTCACCTCCTCCTTGGCCTCGCTCGCGCGGTTTGCAATACTTCGGCATTGGTGCTCTCGTCCATCCGTGGCCGCATCCTGATCCAAGATCGGCCCAGCCACCCCAGCACTGACCACACTCTCCAATACGAGCGATACTGTAGCCTCAGGGCCGGACCCAGCCCTCATTGCAGATGATGCTGTTGGTCGCGTACAAGCCCCATTCCTGGATGGGATTGGCTCTCTCGCCCGAGCGCTGGTCACACCCCTGTCTGGGAGTCATGTTGCCGTCTGCGCGCTGGCCAATTTTTTCATGGAACGCGGCAGTCACTTCGCAGCGCAGTCCTCATGGGAGAACGGTGCTCCGCCCAAGCGCCAGCCACATCCATTTCCAAGATTTGTGCTACCCCCAGCGCGGGCCGCATCCGTGTGTGAGACTGGTACGCTCGTTAGAGCCTCGGCGACGTTCGTCTTTTGCGAGCGCCACCTCATGCGCGAGACAACTGGCGACCGCAGCTGCCGTCCCTTCGTTCTGGGCGAATGCCGAACCTGGCGTTCGGTTTGACGGAACGCGTCGGGTCTGTTGCCAATCGGGGCTGCGCCAGGTTAGCTCCCTCATCGTCAAGTTCGGGAATGGGTCGTAGCAACACTGCGGCTACATCATATGCTAAGCGCAGAGTCAATAAAACATGTAGGTGCAAGGAACAATATCAAATAGCGAAACGCAGCGAGCCTGAAAATCTTGTGTGTGTCTGTATATATATATATATACACATGCAAGACTGCATTGCCGCTTCGCGCCATGCACCTGGGTCCTCGAAGTTTGGTATGCAGGCGGAATAGCAGCAAGGTCAAGCCGACAATTCAGCGATGACACTTTGTTGCCTTTTTCCGGCGTCGCCGTTGTAATAATGTTTTGTTATCCTTCCTTCATCTTCTTTTTTACAATTTTCGTTATACCTTGCGTATCATCCCCATCCTCCCCAGCTCTTTTCGCGGGGGCTCCTCCTTGGAGAGCCTCTGGGGGCCTCACAAAAGCTTCCAGGCTTTCTTAAGGCCTTCCGGAGGCCTCTTGGGCGTCTTCTGGGGGCCTCTGGGGGCTTCCTCGGGCCAACCTGCCTCCAACCGCGGTCTCCCTGAACGACCGGGTCACGATTTGGAGCGCTTCGGTGTCTGGGCGCCATCTTGAGCCGTCATGGGGCTCTCTTAGGCCATCTTGGAACCCTGTTGTGCCGTCTTTGGGCTCTCGTGGGCTGCCTGGAAGCCCTTTCGGATGGTTGTGGGGCGATTTTCGAGCCTCCAGGCGGCTTCGGATGTCCAGAAGACCGCCGTCTTGGAGCGTCGGGAAGCCGAAAAGAGGAGAACCCCCAAATTCCTATAAAACCGTAGGAAAATCAACGAATTTAGAATGTTGGGGCTTGGGGTGCTCTTGGAGGCCTCTTGGGACGTTTTGGAGCGATCATTGGGGGTATGACGGCGTCTTAGGGGTCGTCGTGGGCCGTGTTGGGGCTCTCTGGGGTCGTTTCGGGAGCGCGCCAGAACGCCTGTGAAGAGGATACTTGGATCTGGCTGGGGAAGATGAAGGGGTGTGATGACGAGAGAGAGAGAGAGAGAGAGAGAGAGAAACCGCGCGGGACTGGGCGCAGCTGCTGGCCAGGGACGACCCCGCCGCGGCCGGCACTCTCGCGCGCCGCTGGGGCGCGGAGCTCTCAGTGGCCCTGCGCGCTGCGACGGCGCGGCACGCTGCGGACGGCGCTGGGGGCGGAGGCGGCCCGCCGAGGCGAGCGAGCTGCCCTGGCCGCGGCGGCGCGCCGCCCGGGCCAGCGCGACGCCGCGTGCTCTTCGTCGCTCGCTGGTGGGACGCTGCGCCGGCGGATATCGGCGCGGGCGCAGGCGCGGGCACCCGACAGACCTGCGCCGCGGCCTTTGCAAGACAGGGGGGGGTCGAATGCTGAAAGGAGGAGGAGGGAGGAGGAGGAGGAAATGGAGGAGGAGGAAACGGAGGAGGAGGAAATGGAGGAGGAGGAAAGACGAAGCAGGAGGATGAGGAGGAGGAGGAGGAGGAGGAGGAGGAGGAGGAGGAGGAGGAGGAGGATACAAAAGGAGGTCGCAGATTGAGAGTAGCAGGCGGGCTGGGGATGGATCGATATTGGGAGGGAGAAGGCGATGGAGCGAAGGAGCTGGCATGAATACAGACAGTTGTAAGAGCAGGGGGCGGTGTGGGGAAGAGAGAAAGGCAAGTGAGGAGGGAGCGAGGAGGGCGCAGGGTGAAGGGGGAAGGAGGGGAAAAATCTGGCGGTAAGGCGTAGGTGGGACGGGATGGATAGATGGATGGATGGATAGATGGATGGATGGATGGATGGGACGAAGGGAGGCGGGACGGATGTGACACCTGGGAAGAGACCACGGGGAACCGGGACGGAGGGAGGACGGACTGCCGAACCGACATAGGACCGTCTAGCAATTGGGCGACCTTGGTGTGAAACTTGCCCTTGCGCATTCCAACCTCAAGGTCGCCCTCGTCCACCCGCCATTGGGCCCTCGGATTCCAGGGGCCGCCGCCACTGGAAGAGTCCCGCGCGGGGCCAAGAGGAAAACGCACTGGGAGGAAAAGGGCAACACGATGATGATGATGCTGATGATGATGATGATGAGGATGATGATGATGCTGCTGATGGTGATGACGGTGATGGCAATGACCATGATGATGCAGATCATGATGATGCAGATGATGATGCAACTGATGATTATGATGATGACGATGATGATGATGATGATGATGATGATGATGATGATGTTGCCGACGCTGTTGATGATGACGATGATGATTGTGATGCTGGGGATGATGATGAGAAGGGAGGAGAAGGAACATGAGGAGGTTGATGCTGAGGATGCATAGGCGGAACATGATGAAGATGATGACCCGGATGATGGTGATGCTGGTGATGACACAGTTGTGATGATTGGGTGGTGAGTCTAGTCTTCATGTTGTCGATGTTGGTGGTGATGATTGTGGTGCTGCAGATGATGATCATAATGATGGTGATGATGTTTGTGATGGTGAAGATGATGATGTTGATGCTGACGGTGATGATGACGTTGATGATGATGATGATGATGATGATGATGATGACGGAAATGATGATGCGGATGGTGGTAATGATCACTGTGGTGGTGATGGTGATGACGATGGCGTTGACGTGCAGGGTGGTGATGAGGCTGATGATGATGCGGGTGATGATGATGCGTCTGATGCAGATGAGGCTGCTGCTGCTGATGAAAATGGTGATGCTGATGATGATTCTGGCGCTGATGATGATGAGGCTGATGGTGATGCTAATGATGCTGATGCAACTGATGATACTGATGATGATGAATAAGAGTCATAACTCAATTTATATGATGATGCTGATACTGATGATGATGACGATGATGATGCTGATGATGCTGCTGATGATGATATTGACGATGATGCTTATGATAGGCTGATGATGGTATGATGATGGTGATGATGATGGTATCTGCGGATGTTGATGATGGTGACGATGATGAATCTGATGATTATGATGAGGAAAATGGTGATGGTGGTGGTGTTGTGACGATTATGGAGATGATTAGGATGAGGATGATGATGGAGGTGCTGATGATGCTGCTGCTGCTGATGATGATGATGATGCTGCTGCTCATAATGAGGAGGAGGAGGAGGAGGAGGAGGAGGAGGATGGTGGTGGTGGTGGTGGTGATGATGATGCTGATGCTGATGCTGATGCTGATGATGATGATGATGATGATGATGATGATGAGGATGAGGATGAGGATGACGATGGCGATGCCGATGATGATGATGATGATGCTGATGATGGCGGTGATGATGATGGTGGTGATGATGATGATGATGCTGATGCTGATGCTGATGATGCTGATGATGATGATGCTGATGATGATGAGGATGAGGATGAGGATGAGGATGATGATGATGCTGATGATGCTGCTGATGATGCTGATGATGATGATGCTGACTATGATGCTGACTATGATGATGCTGATGATGCTGATGATGATGATGATGATGATGATGATGTTGATGATGATGATGCTGATGATGATGAGGATGAGGATGAGGATGAGGCTGATGATGATGATGATGATGATGATGATGATGATGATGATGATGATGATGATGATGATATGATGATGATGATGATGATGATGATGATGATGATGATGATGATGATGATGATGATGATGATGATGATGATGATGATGATGATGATGATGATGATGATGATGCTGATGCTGATGATGATGATGATGATGATGATGGATGGTGTGGTGGTGGTGGTGGTGATGATGATGATGATGAATGATGATGATGATGAGGAGAGAGGAGGGGGAGGAGGAGGAGGGGAGGAAACGGAGGAGGAGGAGGAGGAGGAGGAAACGGAGGAAAAGGAGAAGGAGGAAGAGGAGGAGGAGGAGGAGGAGGAGGAGGAGGAGGAGGAGGAGGAGGAGGAGGGAAATTATACCACACGGTTCAATATCGTTGCCCCCCAGATGGCGGCACGGGGGCCCCGTTCGGCGGTGCGGCAGAGGGAACCTTCCCCGCGAGGCCTCGTCAGCCTGCCTCGGGTTGGCGGTTTTGGCAGGGTGTCCAGCGCAGGGCCGAGCGAGCCGCGGCTGAGGCCGCGATTTCCAGCGCTGTTGTATTATAGCGCAGCGCCGCACCAGGCTGCACACAGCAGGCTGGGGACGCGGCTGGGGACGCGCGCCCCAGCCGCCGGGCGGGGGCCGGGCGGGGTCTCCGTCGACTCGTGCCGCCTCTTTCCTCCGACGAACGCCTTAGTAATATCAGTAATTTCTGGCTTCTCGCCGAGTCCATCGCGGACCCTCGAACGATCCAAACCCCGGGGTAGGGGATACGTAGGTGGAGGAGTAAACCCCGCCCCGAAGGCGAAAAGGGAGCATGGAAGAGGAAACTCCCCAAACCTCTCACGCCCAGAGGGCTGGTGGTAATTGTCGTGTGGGAAGGGATGTGGGGGAGGGATTGAACGCTCCTCTCTTCTCTTTTGCCTCCCCTCTCCTCCCTCCTCTCTCCTGCCGCCGTCCGCCTCCCTGCCCTCCTCAGCGCTGTCCCTGCCACGTGCCCTTTGGTGTGCTGGGCGAGTCCCCGCCGCGTGCCTTTGTGCGGCGGCACGCGGGAAACCTTGAACTCTGCGCGATGGGACACCGAGCGGGGCGGAGCGCTTCTTAGAAGCACCCTGCTTCTTAGAAGGCGCGGGCTTTCTCTACAGATGTAGGGCCGACCCCTTCTAAGAAGCAGCCTCACTCTAGGAAGCCTTCCCCCCTCCTACCCTTGTGCACTCTGCGCGATGGAGCGCCGTGCAGGCAGCCCCTCTCAGGCCAGGCCTGCTGGTTTTCTCGCGCGGCCATCCCCCGACTCGGCCTCGGTGGCTCCAGTTCGGCGCTGCTTCGGTTTCTCTCGGGCGCTCGCGTCCTCCAGATTCACCATGCGATTTGGGTTTTGGCTCCGTCCTTCCCTCCTCCCTCCTCCTTCCCTCCTCGTCGATCTCAGGACGAGACCGCCTATGCGGCATTCGGCGACCTGTCGTACAACCAGATCATCGAAAAGCTCATAGCGCTTGAGGACAGACGTGGCATGGGTTGCCGAGGGGCAGGTAGGCGGGGTGATGAGTTCTGGTGGTGGTGTTGATGATGGTGATGGGGATTTGGACTGATGAGGGAAAGGAGTGAGGAGGAGGAAGAGGAGGAGGAGGAATGATAAGGAGAGGGAATGGGAACCGAGGAAAAAGGATACGTATGACACTGGTGTGGAGTCAGGGAGGGGCAGGAAAGAGGAGATAGATGACCAAGGAGGAATGCGACCACGGTGGAGACGGATTGGAAGGAGGTGGAGTAGGAGGAGGCGGAGGGGGACATAGAGTTGTACGGAAGATGTCGAGGATACTTGATGTGGAAAAAGAGAGGACGGAACAGGGTAGATGAGGGATGTCGATGAAGGAGGGCGGAGGAAGGGAGGACACAGAGGATAGGGGAAAGAATGGGGGATATGTATTATGAGCATGATGGCGCCGAGAGTGAATATGAGACGCATAGTCATGCATATTACGATCATGCAGGTGCTGTCGATGAGAAGGACGACGATGATGAACATGCTGACGATGATGCTGGTGATTATGCCGGTATTAACGATGACGCTAAGCACGACGATGGACCCGATTGTTTGTATGACCATGATGCTGATGATGACCATGGCTGTACCGACGGCGGTGGTGATGCTGATGATGATACTGATGATGCTGCTGATGATGATGCTGACGACGACGATGATGACGATGATGATGATGATGATGATGCTGATGATGATGCTGATTATGATGATGGTAATGCTGATGCTGATGATGATGACGATGCTGATTATGATGATGATTCTGATGATGAGGATTAGTATGATGATTATGATGATTATGATCATCGTGATGGTGATGATGCTGCTGATGCTGATGACGCTGATGATGATGAAGATGATGCTGGTGTTGATGACGATGATGCAGGTGCCGATGGTTGTAGTTGTGTTGGTGGTCGTAGTGGTGGGGGTGGCGGTAGTGATCATGCTAATGCTGTTTATTGTGATGGATGATAATGCTCACGCTGCTGCTGCTGATTACCATGATGATGCCGCTGACGATGATGACAATGAATATGTTGACATCGTGGATGGATATGGTGACGATGATTGTGATGACGAGGTTGACTAGTCTGATGACGACGTTGATCATGCTGGCGGTGATAGCGCTGATCATGGTGTTGCTGGTGGTTATGATGATGATGGTGATAATGCTGATGATGATGAGGTTGATGATAAGTGAGACGATGAGTGAGATGATGATGATGCTGCTGATGATGATGATACTGGTGGTGATGAAGCTGTTGATGCTGATGATGATGAACTGATGCTGAAACTGATGATGATGCTGGCTATGATTCTGATGCTGCTGCTGATGATGATGATTACGGTACTGTGGGTGGTGATGATGATTTTTACGACGACGATGATGATGCTGGTGATGATGATGATGATGATGATGATGTTGGTGATGATGATGACGATAAGTATGATGACGATTATGATGATGATGATGATGATCATGATGATGATGATGATGATGATGATGATGATGATGATGATTCTGATAATGGTGATGCTGATGACCATGATGTAAATGATGATGACGACGATGACGAGTATGATGACGATGTAGGTGATAATGATGATGCTGTTGCTGCTGATGATGATGTGCTGATGATGACGATTATGATGATGATGACGATGATGATGATGATGATGATGATGATGATGATGATGATGATGATGATGCTGATGATGATGGTGGTGATGGTGATGATGACGATGATACTGATGATGGTGATGATGATAATTGTGCTTACTCTGATGGTGATGATGATGATATTGATAATGATGATGACGATGATGATGATGATGATGATGAGGATGATGATGATGATGATGATTATGCTAATAACGATGATGCGGATAATGCGGATGATGCGATTTTGGTTATGGGTGTGATGACGATTGTGGTTGTGCTGATGATGACCATGACGATGCCGATGATGATGCTGCTGCTGCTGCTGCTGATGATGATGATGATGATGATGATGAGGATGGTGCTCATCATCATCATCATCATCATCATCATCATCATCATCAGCATCATCATCATCATCATGAGGAGGAGGAGGATGAGGAGGATGAGGAGGTTGAGGAGGGGGAGGCGGAGAAGATGTCTGGAGGGAGGAAGAGGCGAAAGGGAGAACGCAAAGAGGGAAGAGGATGAGGCGGCGGACGGGGGTTGGGAGGGTGGGAGGGAGGGAGGGCGAATGAGAATGTCCAAGCACTGAGTGGTATGACTGCCCTGCACCCGGGAGGAGGGGCACCGCGGGGCTCCTTGACGGGCCTGTGTCCCGGCTCGACAGAGGACTTCGGGCCAGATGCCGCGGCGGGCTCTCCTGGAGTACGCACCCCCTGCCGGTGAGGCCTTTGCCTTACACGGGGAAGACGTTTGGCTGGTTCGCTTGCTGGCGAAAGCGCCGCACACTCCACGGGATCACAATCCGAGCTTCGTCTATGGGTTCACACCATGACTCGCCAGGACCCAGCCCCCTCCTCCTCCTCCTCCTCCTCCTCCTCCTCCTCCTGCTCCTCCTCCTCCTCCTCGGAGGCTGTCGCGCCAACCGCTTCTGCATGAAACGAGCCGTTGAGGTTGGGTTGAGAGGCACAGAGCACGGGCCAGCCTTCCAGAGGCCAGCAGTGGCCTCGGTGGCCGCACCGAACCACCGCAGACACCGAGGGCCCCTCTCGTCCAAGGTATGGCCGGTGCTGAAGTTTGATGCTGCTGACTGTGCGGGAGGGGGAGGAGGGGGACAAGGAGGAGTCGGACCTTTCCTTGTCCGCACGCCACCCGCCTGGAAGTTGTCGAGAGTCGATCGCGGAGCAGCAGGTGTCGAATCGGTGTCGAACAATGCATTTTTGCCGTTAGAGCTCAGATCTACGAAAACGAACGTCCAGAGGGAGCCTCACTTGGAAGGCGGCCTGGCCGGCTACCTCGTCGATCCTCGTATTCCCTATGATCTGCCACCTCAGCTTGCCCGTCCACGATCTCAGCTCTGTGGAGGTTGGAGTGGACGAACGCAACAATGATGAGATACGGCTCCTTGCCTTTCAAGATGATGCCGAGAGGGGCGCACTTCTCCCCGTCTGCCCCCGTATGGAGGGAGGGAGGGAGAGGGAGGGAGGGAGAGGAGGAGGAGGAATTGGAGGAGGAGGAGGGAGGAGGACGGGCATGTGTGGTGTTGCTTGGGGAAGCCTTGGAAATGAAAGCACACTCTGCCGCAGACCAGCTGCCATGTGCTTGATGTACAGCATATCTGGTCGCTAGTTCGCGCAATCGTGGCTGAGAGTTCACTGACTACATATCGCGATGCGTGAGTGCTCGAACGTGTAGGCCCTTTTGCATATCCTATTGCATGCACGACGCTGGGCGTATATTTGCCCCCATACGCCGAACACTTGTTGGCACCAGGAGCCGTGCTCTGTCATGTCAGCGTGGAACTAGCTGCAGAGGCGTTGTGCTGTGGTTTGCCCGGCCTCCGTCCCCAAGTGTTCGCCGAAAGGAAGGGGGTTGATGGACATGGAAGCCGACCCCACGCGATCGCCGAGACGAGGACGGTTGCCGTGTTTTGCCCCGGTTTTGCCCCGTTCCCGTCCCCGAATGATCGCCGAAATGCTTCCTGGTCGCAAATTTCACCCTGGTCGGGAGGCGAGCTGTGCACAGACACAGGCCCTGGCCAGGCACACCCGAGGGCCGGCATCGGTGGCGGTGCACGTGCTGGCGTCCCCCTTCCGTCGGGCCACGCCGCGCGGCATTCCCGGGCCGCCTGGCGACCTCTCGCACTCGCACGGTGGCGGCAGCCGCAATGCATCGAGATTCTCTGGTCGCGCTGGCACCCTCCTCCTCCTCCTCCTCCTCCTCCTCCTCCTCCTCCTGCTTCTCCTCCTCCTCCTCCTCCTCCTCCTCCTCCTCCCCTCCTGCCTCCTCCTCCTCCTCCTCCTCCTCCTCCTCCTCCTCCTCCTCCTCCTCCTCCTCCTCCTCCTCCTCCTCCTCCTCCTCCTCCTCCTCCTCCTCCCCCCCGAACGGGTGGCGTCCTCCTGCCTGGGCCTCGGGGGACTGGCGCATGCCCCTCTCCTGGCCGAGCCCGACGCCGCAGGAGGCCAGGTCCACCGAGGAGGCGAGGCAGGTTGCGGTCTCGGAGGGACGGGAACCTCCCGAGGACCGGCGCTTGCATGGATGGGATGAGGAGCGGGAGGGGAGGAGGCGTGCAGCAACACGGGAGCCCTGGGACGTGGGGACGATTGGGAATGAGCGTGGGAACCGGAGTCTCCCGAGGACGGGCGCTTGCACGAGCGGGAGGAGGAGCAAGAGCCGGAGGCTGCCAGAAGGGTTCGTTGGACAAGGCTGGTTTCGCTAGACCTGAGGTCCCCCCCAGCCCGACCTGAGGCCCCCAGCTCGACCTGAGGCGCCCCAGCAGCCGTCGAAATCACCATTCTTGGGCCAGACCTTCTCGCCATTCCCGAAAGAGGGGAGGAGGCGTACAGCAGAGTGATTACTCTGCTCTGCTTCCTGGTGGTAGGCGTGGGGGGCCCCCCCGAACGAGGGGGTCCATCTCGCGCCGTCGGTGCACCGCGACGTGTCTTGGAGCGCCTGCGGCGAGCGGTGGGTGCCAGCACCAGAGGCCGATATGGGGTCTTGCGGGGGTGGCGCCCCCACTCGGCGCTTAAGTTTCTAGGCCTGATGGGGTCCGAGTAGATGGGGTCGGTAGATCGCGCCGCATCGCCGATGCATCGGCGATGCGGCTCAATGTGGAGGCCGATGTTCTCCACGCCAACGGTGCCGATGCATCGTCGACGTGGCCGATGCATTGGCGATGCGGCGCGATCTTCCGACCCCATAAACTCGGACCCCATCTAGGAGGCCTCTAGCTCTGGGGTCTTCTGGGGGTGGCGCACCCCACTCGGCGCTCGTGTTGGAGCTTGGAATAGTCGGATGGGGATCACATAACAAATGTCCATGCTTTTTTCTCGATTCTGCTTCAATGCTCCCATTCCAATGCCAGGTCGCCGGACCACGCACGTGTCGCTTCTCATTTCCAGAGAGCTGCGTAAGGATGGCCTCAGCAAGTCAAGATGGCCTCGAATATGGTGCAAGATGGTCCAATATGTCCTCCAGCGCGACCGCAAGAGGCTTCAAGACGGCCCCGAGATGGCCTCAATTGGCCATAAAGCCTTCTAAGGATAAGTCCCATGAGCTCAAACTTGCAGGACAGCACCGTTTTTGTTTGATTTCATTTGGCCTTCCACTCCTTTTGATTACCTTCTTTGGATCCCTTCATGAGTCCTGACCCCGATCGTCACCCTTCAGATTTGTGAGGAGCCCCAAATCGATGTTCCGGACTCGAATGCGATTTCCTTCGGAACCCCAGGCGTTCAACAAGAATTTATTCTCGGGTCTCAACACGTTCCTGAGGTCTCTCCAGATATCGTAGGGACATCGAGTCCTGACGATTTCCGGTGTATTCCCCGGGAGCCCTCAGAGCTCCGTAATGAGGTTCCATCCCCAGTTCCGTTCCCATATTTGACGTTCTTTTCCCACCGCCACCTTTCTCATCATGATCTTTGACACCGTCGTCGCCGTCCTTACCATCCGATGTCTCATGGGCACCACCGTCGCCATTCACCCCCTTTTTCCTCCTCATCATCAGTCTGCCCTCCCCCTGATGCCGCTCCTGGTTCCGCTCTCAGTCGCTGTCCACACAATCTCAAGAGGCTCAGGAGTGGGGCCCATTCCGTTTACTCAGTGGTGTAAAGAAGCCGTGCGGAGGTTATAAACAGGCGATCCAGAGGCCCATGGCGCCCGCGTCAGAGCTTAGCAAATGCCTGAGCTACCAATGATCTTCTTCGAAGCTTCGAATCAAGCTCCAAAGCTGCAATTGGTTCTCGTGGGCTGCAGCGGGTACCATGTTTTTCGGGGTTTAACAGGTACGGGTGTGAGCACCCCCCCTTATCCCCCCTTCCGCCTCCACTTTCTTCCTTTTTCCTTCTCCCACCCCCTCAATCCTGCCTCCCTCGCTTTCCCCTTCCATCCTTGGCCTGTGGGTCCCCGTAGTTCGACAAAGCCAGCATTTCGAGAATGCACTGCGAAATGAGTTGTGAATGATAATGCACTTCTTGCGACAACCGTTTCCTCAACCACAATATAACACACGCTAGCTGGGTCCCCAGTGCAGGCAACGGCGATGAATCTGTTAGGCGCCTCCTAGGATGACATCGCTAGTCGGGTAACGACCCGGCCGGTGTCCAGAGCGGGTCGGAGGAGTGCGCAATTGCGTGATCAACCGCGTCGTACACTGCTGCATCCGCACTTTCATATGTCACGCGATATGAGCTTTCTCGGACGGAGCTAGGACGAGGATAAATCCGTTTCA